AAAACTGTACTTATTTTTGCATTTCTAATATTTTGACTTTGACTCTATAATCTAAACAACAACTTTGACTGAGATGAGAGTGATTTGGGACATAGAAATGAGTTACCATTTTTAAAATTGTCAACCATAATCTGTGGCTAATGAAAAATGAAAATCGAATTTACACTCAGATTTGTCAAAACGTTCATAACTTTGTCATTACCACTATTTAACTCTTCCTTACTCTAATATTTTTTAAACCAATCTGATACTTTAAAATTTTTTCATTAAAATCGTCATTGTGTTTCTTCCTTCTATCAAAAAGTATTTTTGCATGTGTGCTTAACGCATATGAATCTATTGCTGTGTGTAATATTGACCTCTAAAAAAATAATTTCTTATTTTGTTTATATCGGCTCCTCCCTTGCCACTGGTTTAAGAACTTGTTAATAGATCTAGATGAAATTATACTTCAAAATCTTTCTTATAGCCTTGAAGTTTTCCTTACTTGAAACACCTAAATTTGAATTTTAAGTTATCGTTTTTTATGAAGTGATGAACCAGTGTGTTAAAGATAAATCGTATTTCTATCACGATTTTTAATAATAATTCCTACTTTTTACATGCATTACTGACAGTAATATTACTTGGATAAAACTAGTATCAGAAAAGTCTGGAATTTATTAGAATGAGTCAAATTCGTCATAGCAACATCTTAAATCATTTGGATCGTGGCAGTTTGTGTTAATCCGGTTTTCTGAAACATCAACAACCAGACTTTACATTAAAAATTTTGGGTTAATCGCGTTACCACATTCTGACGGAAAATATAAATAATTTACAACGAATAAGACAAATATTACATATTTATGTTACAAATATGGAGTTATACTTATTTTATTTACAAGATATTTCTATAAAATAACATTTTACAAAGTAAGAAACGCAACATACTAAAACCTAAAATACTCTTTTTGATCTCAGCTAAATTTTAGTGAGGAGCAGCAGAAACTCATGGACGACTGAGAAATATGTAATGTTCTAAACGCAGAAGGCTCTGATGGCACTAAATGTCACATAATAAGTCGAGATGTCTATTCTTCAACAGGGGTGGGAAAAATATTATTAATCGTGAATTAGTTATCAAATAATCAACAATACTTTTGGTATTTTGAAAGAAGCCAATAAATATATATTTTATTTATATAAAAACTTACGAAAATACGTGTGAAATGTGTTCTATAATAGACTCGAGAAATTACCCTTTGATATAATATATTAAGCAGTTTTATTTTGAATTTCAGTAATTCGGCACCAGACTTTAACTTAAAACCAGTAAAATTGTTTTCCTGAATATATAAAAGACACCGGAGACGGCGGGGCAAAACCACACTTTGAGATCAAATCGCATCCCAGTAATTGCTTTATTAAACTCGTATGTTGTCATTTATAAATAACTATTTTTATAGGCGTCATTTTTACCCACCTAAATAATTTTACATATACCTTGCTAATTTAGTTACTAATCTGGAATTGCTTTATAGCATTTAATTTATAGTTTTATATTTTTTGAACGTAATTTGCTAAAACATTGCACTTAATTACTCAGGCATTAAAATATCTAATAAATTACCACGATATATTAAGGATGTGTAAACACATAATTAATTCAAACTTGAAGTACAGAAATTTTTAATTTCTGAATGTTTTTATTCAGTTGAAGAATTTTTAAATTAACATGTTTTCTCCGAGTTTTTGCAATTTGTTTTTGTAGTAGGTACAGTCAACTTGTGTTTAGTGTTTGTTTTTTACAATGTATTTTTCTGTTATCTTCAATATTTTTCATTGATTTATACTTTTTTGATTTGACGGCCATATATGTTTTTTGTAATAGCCATAGTGATAAATACTCGTAAATTATTATTATTATTATTATTATTAATAGGCATTATATGAAACACAAATACAGTTGTTCCATGTAATTTATTAATTTGTTTTTTAAATAATACCAATTAATTTCTTTTCATAATGCAAGCAGAAACCAAATCACTTATCTTAATAAGGGACAAAAGCTCCCATGAGAGATTCTACCTATATATTATATATAAGCATACAATCGTTATATGTAAAACGTATAATTTTCACATTTACATATAGTATGAGTCATGTTTAAAAAGTCAGTTTAAGTGTATAGAGTCTAAATGTGAACTTAACTTTAAATATCTGTTTCGTACAATAAATGAATTATGTGAAAATGTTTAATCTGCTCTGGATATGTAGTCATTATTAGAAAACGACAGAAAGTTGTTTTACATATTTCCATCCCTGTTTGTAGGCTTCCGTGGCCGTCGTTAATGGTTGAATGATTTCCGAGCTGGTTGCCACATCGTCGATTTATCTGAAACTGAGTCATATTTCCATGCCAATATACTCACAGGTTCCTTTTTATTTACTTTAGTGTACCTACAAATTTCGAACCAAATACCAAACGTGTTTAAATTATTGTGGGTAATTTTTTCTTGGTCATGAATATATCAAGAATATTATCAGGATCTTGTTGAGTAGGTATAGTTAATTTTCCTGGAAAAATGTATTCAATAATTTTTGGTTGGAACTACTTTCATCTGTTCTATTTCTGATATTTATCATTTGCCAACCAGAGTTCTGTATAGTCTGACAAATTGTTAAAAGTGGACATAAATACAAGAATTAATGTAAATTTCGAATATTGTATCGTGGACCAATTGTTATAATTTTTCCAAACGCATAATCATAACTGAAGACAAGTTTACGCGGTGTTTGTCTGGATGTTGCCTTAGGGCATATATTTTTTTAGAAAACGTTAATAATATTCAGTACTGGAAAATTAATTCCCTTTCGTAGTAAAATATCCCTTCCAACATTCTCATAAGAACAGTAAGAATGTACTTTTGCCTATACGAATTCTAAAATGGTTAATTTAGGTCAAGTCGGGTTAGGTTAGGTTTAGTCATCTATATTGATTTTTGGATTCTTTAAATTATGTGTCCATTGGTTATCTTTTTTTTAATCAAACAAAATTAGATGGAATACGAAAGACAGCAACGATTAAACGATCTCTCTCAGTATTTTTCCACGAACTTTTGAAAATTTTTTGTCAGGTTCACCTTGTATACAGGGTGTCCCATAATTAGTGTGCAATACTTTAGCAGTAGATTCCACGATCAAAATTAAGATTATTTTTTCCTATAAACAAGGGTCGAAAAATGCTTCCTAAAAGGGGCTTATTTTTCAAAATATTTCCAAAACCAGTTAACATACCACTATGAATTTTGGTATGTTGGACATTCAATGAATGGTCTAACGAGCTACGCGAAAACTGTTTAAAAATTTTAGTCAGGGGTGTCTCAGGCAGGAGGGCTCACGTGTAAAATGCGCCCCCAATTTTTTGCATGTCAATACTTTCAAATTTAAATATCAAACTAGGATAGATATGAGTTTTTCACAAAGAAAATATACTCTTTATTTAGTTCGATAAAATGCTTCGTTTTCGAGAAAAATCGATTTTAAAGTTTTATTACATAATCTCAAGAATGGAAAAGGACTACATGAATAGGTAGGTAGGCCATGAAAACAAACGTGTGCTTACTTGAATTAATTTGACAGATTATTCTCAACTCAAATTTTTGCTTTCACTTTACGGTGCTGTATTAATATTAATCTAAAGAAAAAATTAAAAAATGCAACATTTCAATAATCGCGAGTTAGCAGACATTCATTTTGTGCATGGATTTTGTAATTTTGTATACCCGAATTGGAAGTAATCTGGACGTAGAATATTTTCTACGGTCCATAGACGATTAACGAAAAATTGATCTTTTAAAAAGCTGCGCAGTCAAGAAAGGCCACCAACTGATTATAATTTTGAAAATGTCTTAAATCAATTTGATGATCATCCTAATATCAGCATCCGCGCAGTGTCAAAAGCCACTAATATTCCAAGAACATACATATGAGAAATGTAAGAAACGTGTATTAGAACTAATCTAAAGCTCTCAGAGGGGACTTTCACCAGAAATGGAGCTCTTAATTTTCACAATACCCACTATTGGGCTAATGACAATCCGAAGGTAGTTCGGCGTAATAATTTCCAACACATGTTTTCAGTTAATCTGTGGGCGGGGATTATCGGTAACAAATTAATTTGAGTCTAATATGCTAAGGAACAATGAATTTTAAATTCTTCGTACTTCTCATGGAATACGACGTACAGCTATGCTGTGCATTCAACAAAATGACAGTTATTTTGAGCAATTATTATAACGTGTTTTTTAGTTTGTAATAATGTCTTTTATAGTCAATAAGACCCCTACTGCTTTATTTGCAGTAAATTAGCGCTTCATATCTTTAATTTTAGCTTTGTTATTATTATCAATATTATATTTTAACAAAATAAGAGGCGGTTTTGCCTCAGAGGTACGGGCAAAAACGTATGTGCCATTATTTTAATAACTCAATAATTTTATGTTGTTCTTTATAAAATTATTATTTTTATTTATTTTTATAAAACTATAAATTTCCTCTTCATTTTTTTTGCTTCTAAATTGCAAAAGTTACACTTGATCTTAAAGGTGCCACTTTGCACCGCCCTCCCCTATTCGCATATTTTGTAATAGATTACATAATAAAAAAAGGTTAATTTCACTGGATGATTGATTGCAACGAAATAAATAAAGCAGGGTTTCTCTTTCCATTAAATTTCATATTTTAATCTACCTGTTACGAATAAACACAAATTAATTAATATTTATTGTAAATAAATAATCACAGGAATGCAGGCAGCCTAATGACAAATTATTTAACTAGCCATTTTTACTGTTTTTTATGTTTGAAATCTAAAATAAATTTTGATTTCATCATTATTTCTATAAATATTTGGTTACATTAAATACAAATGTTCCTTGTAAATACAGAAAAGTGGTATGTTTAGGCTTAAACTCTTTATTAAGGGATTGTAAAATACCAAAAATATGCAGCCGTCTTTCTAGAACAATACATTTTCCACCCCAAGCGTTATAAGCACTACACCACGTTCAATGTTCGATCAAATTGTCCATATTGTTTCTTCATATCCGTCAAAAGTCATTGGCAACGAACTCCACGATTATCATAGCACTACGTCGAACATCTGTAGCGACCTGGTGATAACATCGTCCTTGAGGCACGATTCCATAAATTCTTCTATAGTGATGACTCCGTCCTGGTTGAGGTCTAATTTTCGGAAGACTCTGTCTATTTGTTCTCGGGCCTTGCGATCATCCTCCACCTGCAACATGAAGCAATAATGGTAGGTATACTCTTCTCATGTACGTTCATAGATTTGCTACTTGCGTTAACTTGAGTTTAGTTACCGTCCGTCATCAAATTCAGTGATCTGATAGGATAATAAAAGGTCATATGATATTCTTGCAAAAACATTTTAATAGTTCTTGTGAACCAAAAACATAATTTTGATTATTTAAATTTAAAAATACGGTTTTCGTGATGAGCTGAATTAAGTGAATTAAAGCTGAATATGGTACAAGAAAAGTATAGGAATCAAAATCGAAGGCTGGGTAAATTTCAGTAAAATGGAAAGTTTTGATAAAAACGGACAAACTAATAAATATTCCTATGAAAACTGTACGGAAAATTATGCATACGTAGCCGCGTTATCGAAAAGAAAAAAAATTAGATTTGATGAATCAGGCGCAAAATTTTGTATGAATGTATGAATGGGCTACGATTTCAACATTGAATAGTTGGTTTACTCAGAACACTTAAAGGTATCATGGAAATTAATTGTGATAGACCACCGCTGTGGAGATATCTTCAAGGCATCAGTTTTAAATAAAAAAAATTCATAAGAAGCAGGTTAACATGGAACTGAAATGACTAAGTGATTTGAATATTTGGCAAAAATCTATTAATACTGAAATGAAAACACTTGGACCAAGTTGATAACCATGATGCTCTATCGAAAGGTTGGACTGACACTAGTGATCAATGTAAAACAAAATCATCATCAAACAGAGAAGAAATAACAATAATACTTAATATGCTTTAATTGTCAGTTAATGCACTTTAACTGGGTTAGTTGGAACGCCCTTATTAAAGCAATGTGTAACTTATACTACAAATCAACTTCAGGTTTTTTTAGGTACCTGATATAAGATATAATTTCAATAATGATACAAAATCGACTGTGAGTGTTTATCATTAGAATATTCTAAACCTAGATTGAAACCCAAACACTTGCTGGTTCTAAATAATTGTCAAACGTGTGTACAAGAAATTTAAAATAAAGCTGGTTTTACAACAACCTTTTGTGCAGTAACAACAGAAACGTTTCAAGGTATGCAGAAAATTTAATTCTGGTTCTGAAACTGATGACATCAGGGATTGTAAAAATTAATTGAAACTAGGTACAACACTGCTACAAAATAAAAATTTTTACATGGGACGCTGTCATCTTCATCTAAAATAAATTAATAAAGCATCACCACAGGCTGGTAATCATTGTATTGTCGGTGTTGGATTGGTGCAAACTACATATTGATAAATAAAGAATACAACGTAATTAAATAAAACCACTACATTTGAAAAACATTTCTTCTTTTATAGCTTAACAATTTTTTTAAGTTACGTATTTGTATATCTAATTTGTATACAAACAACTTTTTATGTAGTTTTTAATTTGATGTTTCATATAAAAATAACCAACTTCTTGGTTTGTTTGATCTTCTCTATATACAGGGTGTTTGGTAAGTCGATGCATTCCTTGCAGGAGGTTATAGTACAATTGATTTGTAATATATTTCCTTAATATACTATATTCCGAAAACGCTTAGTTTTCGATCTACAGGGTGTTAAAGTTTTAATAAATAAATGCAAATTTATAAATATTACGGAAACCGCTAAGAATATTTTAATGAAATTTTACAGGCTTTGACAGTTAACAACAATACATGTTTTACGATAAAAATATTATTTTCAGTTTCACCAGGCGTGCGCACAGGCACGTCTGAATATTTTTATAGAAAAAATGATACGCCACTGATTTTTCTTCCTTGATCAATTTGGAAGAGAAAAGGTATCTTGACTGTTTTTCTTATGACGCACCGTTTTCAAGTAAAAAAATTAAAATCGATTTATTGCATGGCGTAATCCGGTTTCAATAATTTGAAAAATAGCAGCATGCACCAACTTACTAAACACCCTGTATAACGGTAATACACTTTCATTTTTATGTGGCTATGCCATCTACTGTATTTTGTATGTTTGATCCCAGTGAAACTAATATAAGTAAATATAATAAAGGATTGCGAGACATGTTTTGAAGTTGATTTGATAAAATTTTCTTTTCCTGTGTCTCTCTGAAAGAATTCAAACAAATAAGAACAAATACTTTTGTTACCTGATGTGCTCGACGACCCATCAGTTCGTGGACAGCGACGACAATTTCGGACAATTCTCCTCGACTTATGCAACCATCGCCGTTGACGTCGTACAATTTGAAAGTCCATCGAAGTCGTTCGTACACTGACCCTCGTAACAGTGTGGAGAGGGTTATAAGTAAATCCTGGAAAATACATTTTATAATGTACAATTAATGACTTTGATGTAAAAATGGATTAAGTCTACTCTAGTTTATAAAAGTTGACTTTTCTCCACTGTGATACATTTTATACAGTTAGAGATCTGAGCAAAAAGCTATCTAAATGATAGTTGATTGTAAAAATTCATGGCGGTTTTTAAATTCAGCCAGTCAGCTGCTCTGATATCAGTTTATAATCCGAAGCTAAGGATAAACGGATATGGGACGTTCCATGAAATATTTACCAATTTCCAAATATTAAAGCTATATGCAAAGACGTTTGATGGCTCAAAATCTTCCTTATGTCACACACTTTCCAATGCGTAGTGGCTTATTTTGGAAATTCAATATGACGGCTGTATATGGTTCCATATCAGCGAGGAGAGAGTGAAAAATCACTTTCAATTTTCGAAATATCAGTATATTCAGCAAGATAAGGTCTAGAAATAGTCAAAAACACAATTATTAACTAATATTGAACCTAGAAACCCTAAACCTAAAACCTAGATACATAAGGTTAGACAATTTATAATAACACTCGGCAAAGTACAGGGTCCATTCGAAACATCTGGTTATCATTTTTAATGACTACAGAGAGACTGTAAACCATGAAACCTGAATACCTTGACCGCAAGAACCTGAAATAGAAACTGCAATCTCGTATATGCGTTGTATGGAACTGCAAAACAATCTTAGATTCGTTTCCATTGAAAACAATTAATGTTGTTTCAGTAATATGGAGTAACATTGAACCTAAAAAACCCTAGAAAAAAACTAATTAACCTAGAACGAAGCCACATAGCACATCAAAAAATTTAAGGTATTAGCTACATGGCTTTATAGTTGTTGATAATACATCCTCATATGTTTAGACATTTTAAACATTCGATAAGTTTCAATTTTCATGAACATTTCCAAGATTAAAATCAAATTCCGTCAAACTCATTAATAGTCTTAAAATGTATGTTTAAGTTCAACTGTGACTAATTATTGATATTAATAATTTAAGGACATACGTGAGCGATATTTTAAATTTAACATATTTCATTTCTTGCAAATTAACTATCATAATAATTGAAAATTGTATTTATAACATCCTTGAGAAAATTATATTTTTATTGATTTTAATGACAGCACTGCCGTCTCGTCCGTTTTTTGTCTAACGTATTGTTTCGTACTAAACAAATAACTTAATTTCGTACTTAATATGAGAATTACATAATAATAAGAAGCTCATTGTCTTGTTACGCTGCCTTATTGAAGTACACGTATTAATAGTTGTATCGTGAATTTGTTAGTATAATGGCATTGAATATAAATTAATTCTAAAATTAGTAGTACATGTATTCATGTATATGATTAGAAGTTATTGAATGATATTGGTTGTATAAGGATAGGTTTAATTTCATGATGAAAATAGATATAATAAATTATACCTTCATAAGAGAGACTTGGTTTACTTCGTAAACGCAATGTGTTAAATAAATTTTATATTTTATTTAGAATATAAAATTTTTAAATGTGTTAGTGATTCAAGACAACTCTCTGAAATATATTTCCCTTTGTATTAACTCAGCTGTAAAACATTAAAATTTGTAACTATTGAAGATACCAGGAAGTGATGAAGAAAGGTGTTAACTTTTATTTTGACACCCATGCAGATAGTTTATTGTAAGAATTAGGAAAATGATATACAAAAGTTTTAGGACTTCCCACTTTTGGACACCTTAAAATAAAAAAAGAAATACTAAAACATGTAGAAACAAAACCCATCACAACTTCACCTTTTTCATATAGAACATTATATACAGGGTGATTTCACTTTAAATACAGAAACTGCAGGAGTAAATTCATTACCAAAAAATAAGTACAGTTTGCTCTATAAACTTTTTTCCTGAGGGCCTCGGTATTCGAGATATACGGTGTTAAAGTTTACAAAAAAATATGATGTTTTCTGCTATATCTGCATAATGCGTTGACGGAATTGAGTGAAATTTACTACAGCGTATTCACTTAATCAGACTTTTTATTGAATGTAATATTAACGTTGTGGCTTTAAACAGTGGCGTGCTACTGGCGGTGCCGTCCCATTTTCCTAAGAAAAAAATACGCCACTAGCGTTTTTTTGTAGAAATAATTTACGTTAAATGAATGAAAAATGTTTCTTGGTGTTTTTTAATAGTTGCGGCCGTTTAGGAAATATTTGGGCTTTTTTACGTTTTATTGAATTTTCCTAATAAATTAATCCATTTATTTGATGAAAACTTTCTGGTTTTAACTAGTGACATGTTACTAAAACGTCCGCCAACTTTTCCTAAGAAAAGAATGCGCCATTGGCGGTTTTTTGTAGAAATTATTTTATTTCTGGAATAAATATCAAACTAAATAACAAAATAACATTAGCAAAAAGGTCGAGTAAGTAGTTTTAAGTAACGAGTCCTCCAACGATTGTCCAAAACGATGTCCTTCCGCATCGATGCACTTTTGACATCTTCTAATATATTTATAGAGGATCTTATCATGACATGATTTTCCCTGAGGAGATTACAATTTTCCTCTATTCTTTACCACAATTCGTCTCGTGTTCAAAACCCCAACATGAACTTTAGAAAGAAATAAACAAAGCTAGTTATAATATTAAAACGAGGTAATTGTAAAGCTTACTAACTGATAATGCAGACAAAAGATTCAATTTTTGCTGATGGATTTTAAACAAATAAATATAAATAGATGGACTAAATTTGCGCCAAATAAGTAAATTATCTCCTAAACAGCTGCTACTATTAAAAAAATACCAAGAATCACTTTTTATTCATTTAACGTAACAGTACCTGAATTTAACATTATTTCTACAAAAAACTGCCAGTGGCGTATTTTTTCCTTGGGAAAACAGAGCGGCACCTTCACTAGCATACCACTTATTAATGCCACGAAGTTAATATTACATTCAATAGAAGGTCTAATTAAGTGAATACGCTGTAATAAATTTCATTCAAATCGTTCAGCGTAATATGAAGATATGACCGAAAAAATATATATTTTTTAAACTTGAATACTGTATCTTGAATATCTCGTCCCCCAGGAACAAAAATTTATAGAGCAAACTCTACTTATTTTTTGGCAACTAATCTATTCCTGCAGTATTTAAAGTGAAATCACCTTGTATATTTTTAAATATTCAGATATAAGCGCTTTCTCAAGCCGACTCTAGATGATGTGGTCTTATGTCAAACATTCGTCAAACACAAATGTCAATTATTTGGTCTATAGTGCCATGTTGTATCATACACGATGTACCTACAGATGTGTAACATGAGCAAATGACCATAGAAAATATAGTACTAACGTAGAATGAAATGTCCCTAACATTGCCAATAAACCGCGAAACAGCGCCACGTAACGTTTTGGAAGCTTACTACTACTTAGCTCCTAATGAGTAGGCAACACTTTATACTTTGTGAACTGATTACAGCGCCATCTANTGTGTGTGTGTGTGTGTGTGTGTGTGTGTGTGTGTGTGTGTGTGTGTGTGTGTGTGTGTGTGTGTGTGTGTGTGTGTGTGTGTGTGTGTGTGTGTGTGTGTGTGTGTGTGTGTGTGTGTGTGTGTGTGTGTGTGTGTGTGTGTGTGTGTGTGTGTGTGTGTGTGTGTGTGTGTGTGTGTGTGTGTGTGTGTGTGTGTGTGTGTGTGTGTGTGTGTGTGTGTGTGTGTGTGTGTGTGTGTGTGTGTGTGTGTGTGTGTGTGTGTGTGTGTGTGTGTGTGTGTGTGTGTGTGTGTGTGTGTGTGTGTGTGTGTGTGTGTGTGTGTGTGTGTGTGTGTGTGTGTGTGTGTGTGTGTGTGTGTGTGTGTGTGTGTGTGTGTGTGTGTGTGTGTGTGTGTGTGTGTGTGTGTGTGTGTGTGTGTGTGTGTGTGTGTGTGTGTGTGTGTGTGTGTGTGTGTGTGTGTGTGTGTGTGTGTGTGTGTGTGTGTGTGTGTGTGTGTGTGTGTGTGTGTGTGTGTGTGTGTGTGTGTGTGTGTGTGTGTGTGTGTGTGTGTGTGTGTGTGTGTGTGTGTGTGTGTGTGTGTGTGTGTGTGTGTGTGTGTGTGTGTGTGTGTGTGTGTGTGTGTGTGTGTGTGTGTGTGTGTGTGTGTGTGTGTGTGTGTGTGTGTGTGTGTGTGTGTGTGTGTGTGTGTGTGTGTGTGTGTGTGTGTGTGTGTGTGTGTGTGTGTGTGTGTGTGTGTGTGTGTGTGTGTGTGTGTGTGTGTGTGTGTGTGTGTGTGTGTGTGTGTGTGTGTGTGTGTGTGTGTGTGTGTGTGTGTGTGTGTGTGTGTGTGTGTGTGTGTGTGTGTGTGTGTGTGTGTGTGTGTGTGTGTGTGTGTGTGTGTGTGTGTGTGTGTGTGTGTGTGTGTGTGTGTGTGTGTGTGTGTGTGTGTGTGTGTGTGTGTGTGTGTGTGTGTGTGTGTGTGTGTGTGTGTGTGTGTGTGTGTGTGTGTGTGTGTGTGTGTGTGTGTGTGTGTGTGTGTGTGTGTGTGTGTGTGTGTGTGTGTGTGTGTGTGTGTGTGTGTGTGTGTGTGTGTGTGTGTGTGTGTGTGTGTGTGTGTGTGTGTGTGTGTGTGTGTGTGTGTGTGTGTGTGTGTGTGTGTGTGTGTGTGTGTGTGTGTGTGTGTGTGTGTGTGTGTGTGTGTGTGTGTGTGTGTGTGTGTGTGTGTGTGTGTGTGTGTGTGTGTGTGTGTGTGTGTGTGTGTGTGTGTGTGTGTGTGTGTGTGTGTGTGTGTGTGTGTGTGTGTGTGTGTGTGTGTGTGTGTGTGTGTGTGTGTGTGTGTGTGTGTGTGTGTGTGTGTGTGTGTGTGTGTGTGTGTGTGTGTGTGTGTGTGTGTGTGTGTGTGTGTGTGTGTGTGTGTGTGTGTGTGTGTGTGTGTGTGTGTGTGTGTGTGTGTGTGTGTGTGTGTGTGTGTGTGTGTGTGTGTGTGTGTGTGTGTGTGTGTGTGTGTGTGTGTGTGTGTGTGT